GTCAGTAATGATATGTGTCGGTGAATAGACATGGTGAATCGAGGAAGGGACCGCTAGTGGTTGGTGGTGACGTTTACAAGTTAGATATGGCATCGTAAAGTGTAGAAGGTACTACGGTGACCCGATTCCGCGTGGAGGTTCAAACTGTCGCCTCTCGCGACTGGAAGTATGTGCGCACACGTGTCTGTCTATTCTAGTCCGGCCTGGCCACTCATCTCCCTTCGGCCAATTCACACATGGCCACGCTGGAGACGCTGTGATGACTCCTGTGCGCTCAATTTTCGGACGCGACCCTCTCGCGTGTTGTCGTGCGCTCGTACGACTGGCAACTTTCTCCAACGTACTCTCCACTACCTCTGCACAGAATATACAATTTCCTCCATTAAGCGTCCCATTTCTTCTTTTCCAACACACGGAACCGGGCCTGAAGAGCACTGCTACAAGGGTCTTCCATATTAACCTCAGCCACTGCTACAGTATTTATAACTGTAACTTAGATACGACAGTATCTAGATGTTTTGGTGTTTTCGATATTTTTTGCACTTATTTGTTTCCGGTCGGTTTGCTTTGTGTCTAAATTTATCTTCAAATACTTCTGCTAATACATTTTGAATTGGTTAGTTTATTATTTATTGTTTTGGTTGTGCGATGAAGGCGTTCCAACTGATGAGTGCGGTTAGTTTTGCAGGTAGCCAATCGGGTCGGGTTGTAGGAGTCTATCGGCCCGCGCAACTGCGCTGACTCACGTTCGCCAAGTCTCGCTCGCTGCGCCCTATTGTCCTTTTGCACGCCCGATGTCAACTCACCGCTTGTAAGTCCGAAGGTAATCGATACTTCTGCCCCATTTGATTGGCGGCAGCCAGCATTACTCACCCAAAACTGGACACATCCTAACTTTTGTACCTACGCGGCTGGCCTTTGTACGCGGCGCCTGCAGCGGCTACTTTAAAGCTACTTGAGCTCAGTAAAGCTGTTCTAATGCATTCCGACTTCCCAGACTTGTGATTTGAGGACATTTGCCCTGCGATCCCAATCTGACACATATAATACCAGAGAGATTGGTCATTTGGACTACATTTCTTAATTCACCACCGACATCCGCCACATTGATGACACGAAGAATAAGTTGGCTGACTTTCTGTCTCGACCTTGCCTCGCTGCCCTTAAACTCTCACAGGCGATCCACCTTGGTACTGTGGCGGCGGAGCAAAAACGAATTAGCTGTCCTGGTTACGAAGCTGTCAATGATCTCCAGCTTGCGGACGTTCCCGTCACCACCGGGACTAGCACCATCCTTTGTGATGTATCGACTCGTTTTCATCGCCCTTTTGTGCCCCCTGGATGCGTTGAGCTGTGTTCCAACCTCTTCATGGACTCTCCCATCCTGGGATTTGAGCCTCACAGAAGCTCCTGGCGGAAAGGTTTGTAGTGGCCCTAGCAGCCACTTGGAATCCAAGACCAGCCACTGACGCACGCTCATCTCCTAAGGAACCGGGCCTCGAAGATTGTAGGTGTTAGGGTTAACCGTCTAGCCTTAACAATATAGGTTCGTCTGGCCTGGCATGAACAAGGATGTCAAAGCTTGGGCCTGCTTGCGCCTGCTTGTGCCTGAGATGCCAGCGGAGCAAGGTTCATTGCCAAAATAAGTCAGCACCCGGCACTTTTTCCAGCCCCGACGCTCGCTTCAGCCATGTCCAT